CTCTCTCTCTCTCTCTCTCTCTCCCTCTCACACACACACACACACACACACACAATGTATTTGCAACAGCATTAATTTATGACCTCTTTTGTTCTGTGACCACTAAGATAAGCATGTCCGTGATGGAACAGGCCATTTAGAGCAAACCAAATGCAACCTCCCAACTATGGTTACCCACATTTGGCTCAGAACAAACTATCATTTACTCCTTTTGGACCCAGAGCTCTGTTTTGCAGACAAGCTTGCCCACAGATACAGATTCTGTCTGCCTACACAAGGCCTGTGGCTCTATCTTGGGGAAAGCCTATGAATCTTATCTTGGCTTCAGAGAGGATGTCCCAAAGCAAACTGTAGAACAGAACTCAGGTCCCAGGGACCACCCTTGACCCACAGCTTCTAGCATCTCTGAGCACCTTTGACCTTGTTTCTCTTCCCAAGAGCAGAGGGGGAGGGGAAGGTTTCTTCTCAATTTCTTGAAAGTTCCTTAATTTGAGTAAGAACACTGAGGGGAACTCCACCCAGGAGTACAATTGCCAAGCTGGGAAGATTAACCAGGAAAAGACTGGACAAAGACTAGAATCCTTTCCACACCCAACTGCACTTTTCCTCTGCTTCTCTCAGGCAGACAGCCTGGAAGACCTGATCCACATGTCATACCAGGCCAGTGCTGTTGCCTCTAGGTCAGGGGTCACCTGAGCATTGGTCTGGTGTGGGAAGTCCTTTTGCATATGCGCTGCTTTTATTGGTTAATGAATAAAGAAGCTGCTTCCAGCCAATGGCTTAACAGAATATAGCCAGATATATAAAGAGAAAGTAGGTAGAGTAAAAGAGACGCCATGGAGCTGCCAGAGGAGAAAGATACAAGCCGCCAGCTGGAACCTTGCCAAGGCCACAAGCCTTGTGGTAAAATATAAAATAATAGAAATGGTGTGATTTAAGAGATAAGAGTGAGCTAGAAATATACATAAGCTAATAGCCCAAGCAGTATTGTAATTAATACAGTTTCTGTGTGATTATTTCTGTTTAAGGCATCCGGGAACAAAAAAGCGGCTTCCTCCTACACTGGTCCACTCCTGGAGGCAGAGATGGTGAGAAGATCGGAGGGTCTGCTGTGCAGCGGGCACAGAACAGCAGGCTGTGGGTCAGAACATTAGAGAAATAACAACCTGTAGGTAGATACAGACATGGGGCTGGAGAGACAGCTCAGTTAAGAACACTGACTGCTCTTCCAGAGGATCAGGGGTTCAGTTCCCTGTACCCTCATGGCAGCTCACAACTGTCTGTAACTCCAGTTCCAGGAGATCCAACATCCTCACACAGACATGTATGCAGACAAACACCAATGCACATAAAATATAAGTTATAGAAAAAAGAAAGAAGGGTTCTTTTAAAAGGGAGAAGAAGATATAGACACTGAAATAATAGCATGGACATCATCAGTCAGAAATCTGTGGGTCCTGGGGAAATGCTAAGACCTGCTCCTGAGGGCCTAAAGGCCCAGCAGGGTTCATCTCTGTTACCAAAATCCTGTCCCAGTGGGACCTGAACTACTGCTGTCCCCAGACTGCTCTTTGCTTCTACATATGCCCACAAAACCACATCCAGCACCCACCAGTGACCAACAGGGTAGCCTTGGGCAAGCTGCTCCTTGTGGGTTGTCACCTCTAGGCCTAGACTGGAAAGCAGCTGCTCCTATTCCTAGTTGCTGTGGGGCTAACGACAGTGTGCAATGCCTGTCTGCTTGGCACAGATGTCCTTGGCCATGGCATGAGGATTTCCTGTCCACGGTTTTAATTGTAGTATGTTGTGTCCCCAGACAAATCCCTTTCCTTTTACTATTTTCTGTCTCCCAGCTTTTCAGTGGGAGTGGCATGAACCTTACTTAGGTTAAGGTAACAATTGGCTTCCACTATCCTGGTGCAGTCTCTTAGTCCCAGACCTTCCAGGGAACACCTTGCCAGTACCTCTAAGGATGAACCTGAATGCTACCTTCCTCCTTAAGAAACAGAACATAAGCACTCTTGAACTCCTTCCTGACATGCCTACATCATCTGAGTAGAGAGCAGAAGGCTGGACTGGGATGCAAGGACCACCGGATACCACAAATGCAAAGACCAGAACTGATGTATACTGTGCCTAACGTCAGAGACCCTGCAACCTGGCCCTCTACAGCCTCTCCTGGTACAAACTGGACCTTGCTGGAGAGAGAAAACTCAGTCTGGACAAAGAAACCTCTCTCCAGTGCCAGGACCATCTTGTTGATGCTGGTTATTACTCGACACCTGACAACACCTCCCCCACACGCCATGTATTCTCCTCATGGAGACCCAGGTATGTGTACAATTCAAAGTCTGGCAACAATTTTCTTGAGTCCCGCTGTCTAGACCCTTGTAATTCTTTTCCACAGGAAAAGGAGCCCTGCAGCTAGGAAGGCTATACCTGTGGGAAGGCAGGCTGAGGGAGCCCTGCTCTAAATTCCATAGGAGGGAAGTCTTGCTCTTATTTTGGACCTAGGATAAGTGAGTTTGCAGAAGCTTGTGCATTCTGCGGACTTAGATCAGGCCATTCCTGTGTCCTGATCTAAACTGGCTGTCTTTCAGGAGACCTGATTGACTACAGAGCAGACGGCTTGCATCTGTCCTGCCCTGCTTTGGCTGTCCTCCACACTTGACCCACAGCAGGACAGATGCAAGGCCTTTTGGCACAGAGCAGAGGCCCAGGGAAATCGCTGTTGACTGATCACATGACGTATGAGATCAACAGACTCTCTTTAGTTTGACAAGCTCCAGATAAAAGCAGAACTGGCCATTCAGTGAACCAAAGTGGCCAAATAAGGTGGTATAACGCTGTCAAATCCCAGTGGGGAGATTTTGAAAGCTCAGCCCTGCATGCACAGAGTGGTTGAATGAGGAGCCCACTGACATCGGGGCTCCTTTCAAAAGGACTGCCGACAGCTGGTAAAAGAAACACACCAAAACCCCAAGTATGAAGAAGTACTTTAATAGCTGAAACTCAAAGTCGTTGTGCTCCTGGTTCCAGGATTTCTAAGAGGCATCTCTGGCCATCTCAGAAGCCAGGGTCACCCACCTATGGTGTCAGGGCATGAACTTCTTCTGGGTGCTGAGAGTTGGAGGAAAGTGTGACCACGTCCAAGACCATGGCTGTGAGGACCTTCCTCTTATCTATGCATCCAGTCAACCGCATCAGTCGGGACAACATGGGCTAAGGAAAGAGACGAATGTTGACTGCTTAAGCAGGAACAGCCCAAGCTTGTAAGGAAAAGCACGCTGCCATACATAGCATACAGAGGGTAGGGCTTCTGCCTGCGCATCTGCAACGTTACATTTGTTTTGCCCGCACACTATCAAGAAGGATTCTGTCGGCAGGGATGTTCCCTGAACAAGCAAAACGTTGGACAAAGATCCTGGATGTCCTGCGTCACCAGCTCAGAGTTCTCATGCGTCATCCACTGGAGAGTTTTGAGGGAAACATGAAGTCAGGCTCCTGCCTCTGCCTATGGGTCGATTTCTTCAGGAATCACGGTAATCATAACGTCTTCGTTGCCCCTGCGGACAACCATGTTCAGGGTGTTTTCCTTCTTAATGACGTCACTGACGTCATTGGCAGTGACCACCGACTGTCCATTGATGCTGATGATGACGTCATTTTCCTTGAGCCCTCCACTGAAAAAAACAAAGGAAAACACACTGGTAACACTACCATTGTTCCCAGTTATCCAGAAGGCCACAGCTTACAACCCCAAAGCCCAGAACGCAGGGGTTTGGAGGAGATGGTGATGAACTGGCTGAAATGATTTCTGACTGATGAGTAGGTGACATTTCCTGTCAAGATCTTTGGGCTACATCAACAATGTCCATTGCAGAAATGCCTATGGCATTAGTACGAACTATGATCAGCTATCCTCAGAGGGGACAAGGAAACACCAGGTACTGTGACCGCAGCCAGTTTGCTCATAAATGGCATCATAATCCAGACAGTGATTCCTCCGGGAATGCTGGATGCCTCTATTCAGAGAGGCTCCTTTGTGCTGTGGCTGGAACTTTAGTTTATACGTGACAGGGTCGCTGTGCTACCACAGCCCTCCTCCTCCTATCCTAAGGCTACAGACTTGTTCCACAAAGGCCCAGAAGGGAAACAGCTCAGGCTTCCCAAAGTATTTAGTGGCTGTGTCTTAGCTATCCCAAGTCTGCCGCTGCAGCATAAAAATTGCTCCAGACAAGATGTCATCTTGTCTGGGGACACGGCTGTGGTCCAATAAAACATGTGTCCACATTAGCATTTCAGAGAATGTGCAGTGTCACAAGACGGTGTCATTTGGATATTTTTTCCCAAGCATGAAAAAAATGCAAAAGCTATATTTTGTTAGCCCACAGGTCACGGACAACAAGGCATCAGGCCAGGTCTGGCCCCTGGGGCTCATATCTGCAGCTTCAGTCCACATTGCTTTCTAGAGGTCACAAGGGGTCCAGGTAACAAACCTAACTTTTGGCTGAACTGCATCACGGGGGTCCAGGTAACAAGTTTAACTTTTGGCTGAACTGCTTCTTTCACTATTTTGATGTCATCCAGATTGTTTCTGCATAGGTGTTGACAGGTATGACTTCACTAGTCACAAATACAACCAGAGCAGGCCCTGGGGATCTGCATCCTGCTCCACAGACCCTTCCCCTCTAGCCAGGCTTCCCAGGAACTCGCAGCCAGCCCCCCAGTTGAGTGCTCTTCCCATATGGATGACCCCAGCCATGACCCAAGGCAAGAAACCTCCTTTTGGGGACAAGCCCTGAGTCCAACCCAGTCAGAAGCCCTGGCTGCGGGAGATGGTGGGCTGACATGGCCATCTGAGCCAGCCGTAAACACTGCTTCCTAACCCACAAGCCACGTGGATATTAGAAAAAGGGGAAAGACTTATCACTCACGCTTCTGCCGGGGTCTCGGGGATCACTTCAATGATATACGCTCCAGACAGTACATCTGGGAAGTCCCGGTGGCGGTCCTTCAGCTCTTTGGCCTTGCTGCTTAGGGGTCAAAGTCTTGGTGTTAATATCAGGCACCCACAGCCTTCCCGTGCCAACACTCGGCTCTTACCAGAGTCCCTTCTCATTCTCCACTTCAAGTCGTCTCATTTACTTGATCGTGACACATACATGCACAGGCTTTGACACAGCACATTACACTTGCAGAGGTCCGAGGACAACCTCAGTCATCGCCTGGCACCTTGTCAGGAACAGTGTCTCTTGCTTACTGTTTGCACACATAGGCCAGCTGGTCTGCAACGGAGAGTCTCCCCCATTTACCTCCAGTCCTGACATAAACAGCCGCAGGACTACAGGACTACTTCTATGCCTGGCTTAGCATAGGTCCACTACAGACATGTACTTCTATGCCTGGCTTGGCATAGGTCCTAGGGATTTGAACTTAGGTCCTCATACTACCAGAGCAAGCACTTTACCCATGGAGCCCTCTCCCCTGCCCCCGATTCTCCTTTAAAATGGCCTGCCTATTAGCATCAGCAGCTGCTGTATGATAGCAGGAAATGATCTAACCATCCGCATAAGACAGCTGTGGCAACAGGGGCTGTCATTGCCATGGCTGAGCCATACCTGACGATACAGTAGGCACACCCACCCTGTTAACCTCATCCTAACAGGGAGGGTGCTGAGCACCCAGGATAGAACGCTGAGAGGTGTAGGAGCTTGGGGAAACAACACCGAAAGGTGACCCTATAGCCTAGCTTCCTCTACCCACACTTCCATCTCTTTGGCTCCCAAAGACAACCCGGGTGAGTTCAGGCTCGGCAAGCTGTCCCATTCTTGACAACACTAAGAAAAGTACCATTGTTCATAGCTTGTATGGAATGTCTTAATATTTTGATAACTGGGTAAAACAGTACTATCAATACGTTCTGCTCTTTAGTGACTCAGACATGCCAGTCAGTTTGGTTTCCTGGATTTCCTGCCGTTTCCCTTCCACCCCCTCTAGGAGTACATCACGAGCCTGGCAACCCCAGGCAGCAACCTCCACACTCAGGAAAACAAGTCCATCAGTCTTCAGTACCCCGAGGCAGGGCCTGCCCTGGCATTCCTGCAGCCACACCCCACGCTGCTGCAGTGCAGGGGAGGCAGGTGCTCTCGGCTGGGGCAGGCAGGCGCTGGGGCACTCCTGGAATGTGAGTTTCAACAGAACAAGTGGCCAGAGGCAGGCAGGAGAGTGTGCTGGAGGGAGCCAGCCTTCTGCTGTTCAGGCCTGCCTTTGGGGAGGAGGGCAGGGTTTTCCAGGTGGTCAGAATGCAAAAGCAAAGAGGCCCAAGCCCAACGGCCCCTCCCTTTCCCCAGTGTGGCTGACTTTTAAGCAGAAACTGAGGTATCTGAAGGAAATAGTTTCTCTTCAAGAATAGCCATGAAGCCTTGTGATGCCCAGGGTTATATAAAGACAGTGCAGACGTCCACATTTATATCATTGTGTGTCCTGTTTACCCACCTAGATGTGAGCGACATCATTCGGATCCCGATATACTTCTTCTTGGTGATGGCTTTCCCTGGTGTGGCAACAAAGGCACAAAAAGTCAGTCCCAACTGGTGGGAGTATTGGGACACAGGAGCCAGAGTTCCAAGGCTCCAGTTTGTAACATGAGCCAGAGGAGGGCACCCAAAGACTGTGGTTCAGTCCTGGCCTGGGATTTTAGGAATGTCTCTTGCTTCAGAAATGGTCAAAAATTTGAGCTTGCCCTTCGTTCCTAACCCCTATGGGTATCTAGAATGCGAATCCTCTTTGTTCAGTCTCTACCACCACCACCCTGGTAACATACATTGACTCTTGAGATGACTGGTCTCAGGGACTGTCATCTTCCCCTTTCCCAAGTCCTCAGGGGGCAGCTAAGCCTCAGGACTGAACCTGCAAAGGGTCCCCAGGATGCCTGGACCTGGTTACCTTTGGCCTGTCGGTCGTGGGATTCTGTCAGGAACTTTTTTATCTTATCGGATGGAATTGCAAAGGAGATGCCCGCCGTCACCTTCAATGTGTTAATCCCAATCACCTCGCCATCCTGCAAAGCAAGCACAGCTCGCTGAACCCGGGAGGGTCAGAGGCAGGTATAGGCAGGAAGATGCGCAGACGCGCCAGGTGACAGAAGTCTCTGAATTGTGTTGCCAGGCGTGGCGCCTCGCACCTGTCATTCCAGCATTCAAGAGCAGCTGAGATAGGATCGCGCTGAGATCCTGGCCAGCCTGAGCTATGGTTTGAGACCTAGTCTCCAAAAACAAGGTTGAGAAGAAGATGCTATCTTCACTGGTCATCACGTACTCTAGCCTACAAATGTGTACAATTAAAACAATAAAAAGAAGAAGTGTGGGCTGAGAAGATGACATGATGGTTAAAGTGCTTACCAGGCACATGAGAAACTAGGAGTTAGGATCCTCAGAACCCATGTGTATGTTGGGTGTGTGTGGCGGCTTTCCTATAATTTCAGCCTCAGAGGCAGAGGCGGGATCCCAGGAGAAAGCTGGCTAGTACAACTAGCCGCAGCACCTAGCTCTGGGTTCCACTGAGAGACCCTGCCTCGAACCTTCATCAGCCCTGGTCCTCCCCAGGCACAAATACATACGCGCACAGACAACACCCCCCAGCCACCCACTCACACTTGGGACCATACATGCAAATGCTCATATACATAGACATATGGCAGGGAGAGTATTTTGGCTACGTCTGAGAATCTGGGGCGGGGCGGGGGGAGGCTGCAAGGAGGAGGCCTGAGGGTAAGGAGTGGGGAGACATTAGGGCACTTGTGTAGTGCCGACCACACTCAGTTCTGAAAGGATAAACAGAAGCTCCAGGTAGGAGTTTTAAGGCTGCTTCACTGCATGTACAGATGATGTTCAAATCCACCAGACTTGCTCTTTTCACTGGAAGAATGTGTCCACCCTTCATTATCTCCCTTTCCAAGGACCCTGATGTGACTGGATATGCTGAGTTGAGCCTGGACCCTCAGGGTTTACTCCCCACAGCTGCCCCAGGGTATGGTGGGGACGAGCGAGGATGTGGCTCTTTCCTGAGAAGTTTCTGGTGACCTACTGTTGTACTGAAAAAAGGGACCTTAAGAACGGTCAACATAAATTGCTCCTGTTGTACGTCACAGACAGCAGCTCCTGACAATGACACTTCCCAGGAAGTATCACTGGGTGGCCTCAGTTTTATACTCTCTTAAACAACTCCCAAGCGCTGGCGTGCTGTGACCTTCAGTTTTATGCTGAGGTATTAAAGTCTAGGTTAAGGGAGATTTGTGTGAGCAAGCGGTGGCTCCCCATCGTACCCACAGGCATTCAGGGAGAGTTCCGGCATGAAGACAAGCCAGGCCAGCTCATCTTCACTCAGCTACCCTCGAGACCAAAGGCACCTTTCTGCAGCCAGCCTCACTGCAGGGACCTTCAGTCCCCTTTCTGCCTAGAATTTCATGGTGTCCACCTGTATGTGGCCTGAAACACAAGAGTGTCCTCTGGCCTTACTGCTTCCAGAAAGGGCTGCTGGGGCTAGGTGCAGAGATATATACGGTACACTCCAGAGAGCCCCCTGTAAAGTTAATTACATCACGTGTTCTGACAAGCTCATGTCCAAAAAGAAAGCAAAGAAAATAGCATGCTCCAAGACGGAACAAACATAGCACAGGTATTGAAAGGCCTTACCAGGTTTACTAACGGGCCGCCGGAGTTTCCATACTGAAACTGAACCGAAAGGGAAAGGTCAGGTCTGTCTCACACCGTCATGTAGCCAATGTCTCCGCCCAGCAGATTCAAATCTGAGCTGAAGCAGCTGGCAGGGCTCTTCCCCAAGATTCTCTGCTCCCCTCATATTTACTTGGCTTACAAAAAGGATCATGACCGTTTTCACAAAGCTTGGGATCTGACATAGTGAGACCATTTAGGTCCAGGCCCACTGTGAGCAGCTAACCCCTTCTCACCTCCTCCTCGGATGAGACCAGCTACCCGCTTGCTTCAGGATCTTGTTCAACTCTATTCAGCCCCAAGTGGGTCGCCACCATCACCACCACCTGCACACCCCCGCTAGGACTACGCTCCATGTACTTATTCTAGTTCCGAGAATTCGTGGAGACTACAAGCAAGTTTGGGAACAATAGCTAACTAACTTCCTCTGACAAAAGCTTGTCCCCACCCCAGTAGGTAGAGGGAGCGGAGGGCTCACATTGATGATGGCGTCCGTCTGAATGTAGTCCATATCGGAGTTCCGGAGCCCCAGCTCTTTGCCGCCTCTCTGGGTGGTGCTGACAATCCCGGTGGTGACCGTGTTTTGAAGAGAAAAGGGGCTTCCGATGGCTACCACAAACTCTCCTGGTCGTAGCTCCGAGGAACGGCCAAGCAGCAGGACTGGCAGCTTTCCCTGCAAGCACAAAGGCAGGCGTTGCTGCACTGCAGCTTGGCATGCTGGATAATACAGATGCAGGGGCCACAGAGCAGTCCTGGCTCCTACGGATGAGTTCATCAGCGCTAACACCGCTCTCTCAAGCCCCTGCCATAATCCACACACCACAGGCCGTTAGGGATCCAATGAAACAGAAGACACCCAGAGCAAGGAAAATGGGGAAACATGAGAAACCATTTCTCGGTCTCACATCTTGGAGCTATCCACACAGCTTGACAGAGGACACCAGGAGACAACCTAGGCTGAAGATTCCAGACCGGAATCCTGAGCCCAGGTGTTTTAGGGGAAGCAAGGAACCTGGGGCCTACTTCCCACAGGCATAGCCTTCCTGAGGCCTGGGATATGAGGAGCCCTGAGGGCAGGGACTCACACTGACTTCTTTGTGCACCCCAGTGGTGGAGAGGCACAAGGACAAGCAGAGAGGCTGGCAGCACTCAGGACCCAAGTGTTGGGTTATCTCTCCTGCCGACCCTGGGAAGGTGTCTATGCTCCCAGCCTGGGCAGACGAAGGATGCAGCAGAAGCCGCATTTCCCATGCCCTCTCGTTAATGGGCAGAGTTGTGAGCCCTACACAACTCCTCATAACAACACAGGACCCTCCAAAGGCTACAGAGGTTGATGGGCTGAGGAAAGTCAATAGAGACTGCCTTCATTCACTAACAACGCCCCAGGCCCTGCGTTCTTTCTTCCACGTAGCCCAGCAATCCCGCGTGCTGCTCATGGAGTTCTGTAAGATCTGGTCCTGCTGCCTGCTAAGGGAAACTCTTTACATTAATCGCCTTGAAAAAGAATAAGCTTTAAAAAAAGGACCCAGTGTGGGTGGAGATAGGATGGGTAGAGAGACCAGTGACTTTAGCATCTCCTCTATAAAGACAATCGAGCTGCTGACAAGCTGGGACAATTGTTGAGCAGACAAGGGAAGCTCTGGGGACCTGGGTGACTTGTGACATAACCAAGGTTTAACCTGACTCATCTATTTTCCAGCACTACACAGTCCAGTACAGATTCTACCCAACACACACACAAAGCCACACACATGTGCTCACATGCACACATACTGAGACAGACAGACAAACAGACAGACAGAGGAGTAAGGTCAATACTGGATAAGAAAACTTATGCAGAAGGAGAGAATGCAAATTCTCACCAGCAAGGAGCCCGAGAAGCCACACCCCTTGACTCTCGGATAGCACTCAGCCCCACTGAACACCAGCCATCAGTGGCACAGGCTGAGGCCACACTGCCGAACTGAAATTCTGCTTGAGTTTACAAGCATGAACTCCTCATCTGAGAAGTGGAAATAAGACAGTCCACCAATCTCAGGGGTCTCTTTTGAGAACCCGATGGATCAGGAGCCTGACCGGCTCTCTGGAAACAGCCTGCTTGGCTGGTGTTATCAGCTGAGCATCAGCTATTCTCCAGTATTAAAGTCCCTGAAAATTCAATGAAGGATTCCAGCAACTGTGCTGTGACAAGCTATGTCACCTTTCCAGACACAGTTCCACCCAGTCTTTGACCCCTTCACTTTAAGGTCACCTGAGGCCAGAGCCTATGGCATTCCCTAAACAGACCCACTCAGCATCCAATGGCACGTAGCAAGCTCAGCGCGACGTGTTTACCCTGGGTGGGCGCCAACAGTCCCTGCCAACAAACTCTGCCAAGAATGACCTCAGCAATCACGGCAGGGTGAGGCAGAGTCTGGCTGCTGATGTGTGCTTGCTCGGCCACACTGGAAGAGGCCCACCAGGACAGTGCCGTTCCTTTGGGGGCCCAGGAGTGGCTAAAAGTCCTGTCTTTGAGGCTTCAGGGATAACTGAAGGGTATACAAAAGGGGTGGCCAGGGCTGGAAGCCTGGACATCCAAGGAAGCAGTCTACACAGATGGTCGAGCTAAACTTGGAAGGGTGGGCCCAGCTACACAGTGGGAACTATATCAGGTCAGAGGTAAGCTCCACTGAGAACCATTATCAGCATTTATCTTGCGCCACACCCCAGCCATTGCCTCTGCTTGAGAGGAGGGATGCCAGAAGCAGGCTTTAAGCCTCAAGGCCCTTAAGACAACAGGGACCTAATGACAACTCAGTCTGGCTCTTCTGTTCCAAAATCTGAGCTCAGGCCCAGAGGATGCTGGGAAAGAGACAAATGTTTCAGGGGAAGTTGTGTGGACAGATGGTAGGGACCTCTATGATGGAAGGAGATAGAGGCGTCTATGTCATAGAGTACTCAGAAGACATGCCAAGCTCAAGATCAGTGGACTCATCCACTGTCACCGAGGTGACCATGGGCTTGGACAAGAAGGAACACTAATGGTGAGAACCCATAGGAAAGCCCATGTCACCACCCTGTCACATCTGTCCAGGTGGGCAGTCCCAATGGTCATATCTCTTTAAATATATGTTATAAATCATGAAGGGTGACTATAAACACAATACTAAACAGGCAGACACATAATGGCAGGGTAAGGAGCAGGGTATCATAGTCCAAATCCTCACTTTATAGGAAAGGATTAAACCTTTCCCTGCCAGATGGCCAAGTTCTTACAGGGCACTCGGATGACTTGGGGACCTAACACCCCCACACACCATTTTATGGCTATGGAAACTGAGGCTCAGGATGGAGGCGCTTTTCTCAGCCATGAAAAGCCTGATTAATCTTGAGAACCAGCCTCCAGGCTTGAGCCTCCATCCCCATAAGGCAGGAATTCTAATTGTTGGACTCCAATTATAGGCTGAAATCCCTACAAGGGAGAGTGAGGTGGTGCCAAGCTGGCGGCCAGGCCTGAGTTATGGCTCCATGAGGTCAAGTTGCCTTAAGGGGCCCTTTTGGCCCTTGCTCCCTGCAGGTGCTGGCTGGCTTTGAGCCTCAGACTCCTTAGCCTTATTCAGATCCAAATGGGGCTAATTCTCAGCCACAATCCTCACTCAGGCCTGTCTGCTCGGTAGCTATAGCCTTTGCTGGCCAAATTCCTGCGCAGTAATTGAGCTTTTAATTCTATCCCTGTCTAGACAGCCACACTCTTGGGGGGACAGAGGGGAGGAAATATACATGTCTGGAAGGCATTGCAGTGCCGCAGCCTTGACCTACAGGCGCTCCGCCACACTTCAGGGTCCCTGCTCCGTGTCCGCAGGCTGCTTCCTCTGTGCCCACATCAAAGCTGTCTCCAAGCTCCTGGCTGTAGACACTCTGTCTAGGGTTCCCTTTGAAGGGCATCAGTCAGTCCCAGGCCATCCAAGAGATCAGCTCCTCTCTTGACAGACACTTCCCATATTCCCCTCCCCCCCCATCCTACAAATCTAAGCTCCCCTAAGCAGTAAACAGGACAAGCATCCATCCTGATAGTTGCAAAGATTGAGGGGAAAAAAGGGATCCATCACTCCCACTGACCTCACTGCTGGGGAGGCACGGACTTGTAGCCTGTGGGAACACTAAAGTCATGAGATGGAAAAAGAGCTCTGAGGCTCCATATCATTAAGCCAAGAAGGAGCCCTCAGCCTCTAACAGGAGGGGCAGCAGCTTACACCAGGTCAAAACGCAAGTCCTTCTAGGATGAGGGACACTGCCCGGTGAGTCTCTCACAGTTGAGTCCTCACCAGGCTGGAGAGCAACAGTAGCCTACGAGGCCAGCAGAAGAGAAGAGTTTGAAGCAGGAAGATGTATAAGTACCGTATCTTCAGGACACTGCCGGACGCTAAAGGGTATCCTCAGCATCAATAAGAAAGTAACCTGGGAAAGAGAAGAATTCCTGGAGGCCTGGAAGACGGCACATCCAGGCAGCCAGATGACCTGAGTTCCACACCTAGAAACCTCATACAAAGCCACACGAGGTGTCACAGATCTGTAACCCCAGCACTCCTACTTTGAGATGGGAGACAGAAACAGGAGATGCTGCCTGCGGCTCATGGACCAGTTAGCCTGGATAACTATATACAGGGCAGTGGCAGGAACAAGAGGGTCTTTCAACAAGGTGAAAGACAAGAACTGCACCTTAAAGCTGTCCTATCATCCCCACAGACACACTTGCATACATATGCACAGGCACACACACACACACACACACACACATACAACAACAACAACAATAATAATAAAAGAATCCATATGTCCAACTTATAGGCACACTGTCACCTGAGTAGGTGAAAAATGAGCTCAAGGGAGTGTCAGTGGCCCTGGACATAGACTACAAGCTTACCATGTGCACACAAATTACTAAATAGTCACAGACTGAATGCTAACTGTGAAGTAGGTCAAGGGCTTGGTCCACAGCATGGTTCTAGCTAATTAAATTATAGCCATCACAAAAGCAGGCTTTGCTTTCAGGGCACACTGCCTACCTGAAAAGGAATAGTCTCAACAAATTGTCTTCCCAGCACCTGGCATAGGACCAATGTATGCAGTCCAGCTCTCCAGGCTTCCTGTCTGATGGGCAGAGCATGGATGAACCACTGGGGCCCAAGAGTAAACGCAAACAGAATCCATTCCCTTGCTGTAGGCAACTGGGCACAGATTGTCTACAGTGCCAAGCACAGAGCAAGGATCTCTGCCTGTCTCACGTGCAAGGAAGAAAAATCTGAATCCAAAGTGGACACAGCCATGTGTCTGGGGCCTGAGTTGTACCATGCCTGGGAATAAGAAGAAGCACTTTGTGAGGTGAGCTAGGAGTGGGCTTGTCCACTGTGCCCAGGCTTCAGAGGCTGAAGGACAACATTAAGACCCAGGAGCATCCCCTTCTCTACTCTCTCAACTTCAGTATGCTTGTGGTCACCAGACAGTCACCACCACTCCAGATATCACACAAAAACAAGAAGATGCCTAGTAGCCACATGACAAAGAGGGCCAGTAAGATGGCCCATCTGGTAAAAACAACCACCACCAAGGCTGATAACCTGAGTTCTATCCCTAGGAAAGGTCCCACAAGATCTGGCCTGTGACATGTGTCTCAGCTTAGTCAAGGCGCAGGTG